GAGCCAAGGACAATTGGCTCCACTTTAGCAACATCCTTACATTCCTCCTACTCCTTCCAGTCAGTCACGAATTTGCCTCTGTAGGCATTCACTCCTCTCTAGCGGCCTATCTACCCATTGGACTGTTTCCTGTGTTCTCTCGTACCTACTCAGACGCTCATTTCAAGCACGTTCTTCCTCTTTCTTTTGTCCCATCCTGTCACTCCTCCACCTTTGACCAGATCTCCAGAATATCTCCTTTCTCCTTTCTCCCAGTTTGCTGATTGTTGCCAAGGAAGACTACTTAGCTTATTGATGAGTCCCACTGGAAAAATTCAAGATATCCAACCTTGGCCAAGCCCTTCAGATCGCCCATCCATCATTTCATCTGGTCTATGAGATAGCCCCCTTTCTAGTTCCTCATTTTCCTGTCCCAATGCTCTCTCTCTTAACTATGCACTCTACCCACACCCTCAGAGGCAGCAGAAAATCTAGCTCCACCCGGCAACTTCTTGCCACCTGAACTTCGACATAACCGTATTTATAGTTAGTCTCACCGCAGCCTGCACAATTCAGAGCACCCTTATCCTTTGTCAAAGCCAACTCTCCTTTGGGGCTTGGAGTCCAGTACATAGCACACCTCCTGTGGAGCTGACACCCTTTCACGTGAATTTTTAATCTTTCCATCCCTTTATCAAGACTTTGTCTTTGACCTTCCAGTTCTCATTCCTTAGGGATCGTTCTTTCATTTCTCTTGGATTTTACTGAAATATGACCTGCCCCCTGAGGCCTTCCATGACCAGTCTATCAAAAATCAAAAGTTCTGCCTCCTTTCCCACACACCTGCACTCATATTCGGTGTCTCCCTTCTCTGCTTTAATTTTCCCTTTAGCTCGTCAGTGCTTATCTTCTTTTGCTTATTTCTATGATGATTTCTCTGCTTTCCTGATTAGAATGTACTCTCAATAGACAGGAATTTTTATTTGAACATGCATTATCAACTAGACTAGTGGTAGCCACATAGAAGTAGAAAAATAAGTACTTATTGAATAAAAGTAATAAACTAAATATCATTTGACTTCTATTTTCACTATTGTATGGTAATTATTAAGATCCTCAGTGGCATAATTGTCAAACCCAGTATGCTTATTTTGGTGCTTATTGACTTGGACTATCGGTAGATTTTATTACTGTTTTCCAATAATTCCTTTGAGGAAAAAATTATTCCTCTAAGTTTCTCTAATCTTAGACTCCTCCACTGACGTGTATGTCTTCAATTCCTCCACTATTTAAACATCACTACAGTCCCACAAAGCTGCCTTTGACCCTTTCCTCTTATGTTTCTATACCCTTTTCCTGAGAAATATCATCTAGTTCGTGTTTTTAAACATCATCCATGACTTCACAGTCTAGACCAGCGGTTCTCAACCTGTGGATCGTGACCCCTTTCCTTTCACGGGGGTCGCCCGATTCATAACATTAGCAAATTACATTTATGAAGTAGCAATGAAAATAATTTTATGTTTGGGTGGGTCCCCACAACGTGAGGAAATGTATTTCAGGGTCACGGCATTAGGAAGGTTGAGAACCACTGCTTTAGATCTTTGGCCCTCACTTTCCTCTTGAACAATTTCTACCTATCGGGCATCGACAGAATAAAACCTAAGTTCTTCAAACTCAACACAAATCGCACCAATTCATTATCTTCCTTTGTTCTTCTCTCCCATCTCTGAGTAGGCTCTATCTTCTGACATGTTTATTGCATAATTCCATTTTGAATGTATCCTCTTTTATGTGTCTCCAGCACCCCTGCCATATTATTATTATTATTTTAGTACAAGGCTTGCTTTTTCGTTTCTTTTTTTTTCAGTCTGGAACCCAGTCCTTGTCCCTATTGAGTCCATTTTCCTAAGAGATGTCACTTTTTGAGACAATCAGCTAAATGTTTCTGGAGTGGAGGCAGTGTCCCTCTCCCTAGTGAAAAGTCTTTTTGGCTCCTTTCCCAACGTTTTTTTACGAGACGGAGATCCAGGAACCCCAGCACAGTGCCGACCCTCTGCATGGAGCTGACAGGGTTGGCAAAGAGGATCACAGAGACCAAGATGGGGAAGAACTTGTGAACTGCGGGGATGTTTGAGCAGGTCAGGGGCCCCAAAGTACAATGATCCTAAAGATGCAGCTCTGACCCAGGGCACTGGTCAGGCCAAAGAGCAGGATGTTAGAGATGGTGGCAGGGTACCTCTCTGCAAAGCACAGGGACTCCCAGAGCTCCCCAGTGAACAGCATCCCGGCGCCCAGCAGCATGGTGGACCACAAGGTTGATGTTCAACATCACGTGATTGGGGCATGTTTGATAATGAGCTTGCATGTGGTCCTGGAAAACGTCTGTCAGTCCATCCAGGGTTAGAGACAAGAGCAGGAGTGGCTCTCCATAGGCAATTTAGGCAATTGTGTGTTCTTCCAACAACCTTCCTTTGGCTTGTACAGGAAAACAGCTACTGAAGCTACAATTAACAACACACACACAGGTATTGGGCAGCGGGTTCTTCTTCTTCAGGAGAGTCACCCTAAGGAGCATGGCTGGAATTGGCTTGCAGGATTTACCCAGAACCTGAGTGAGGTAGTTGACACACTATAGTGCTGAGTTGCTGGACACCATGCCGCCCAGGTAGGAGAACCCCTGCCGTATTGGAAGCCTTCGTTATTTTCCTCTATGTGATAAAAGGTGACTTTGCAGTTTCCACCTTCTGCTATGGCCCCTCCCCTCCAGCTTACACATTGTCACCACAAGTACTGTCCCCACGCTTCCCCGTGCTTGCCTCCACTTGATGCTTTCGGTAATTGTCCATTACATTATTCGATAAGGTCTTTTGTGGCATAAAATCTAGCTTCAGCCTATCTCACCAACCTCTTGAACTTGAAAGGCACATTTATTTATTCACATTTCCTCCAAGCACTTTTCCAATCCTGCACATACAGTTCCTTTTACCTGAAATGTCCGTGTCCTTCCCCCACATCTGACAAGCGTTCAAGAGGTTCACACACCAGCTCTTCTTGTTCACCTTCTTCTAGCCTCACAAAACATTCTTCCTCCTCCTTCAAATTTTGTTCTACTCTGCCATGTACATTTCTACTGAAGCGTGTGTTTATATTGAATGTTTAAACCGTTTTCTTCAAATTGTATTTTTGAAATTTTAGACAGATTTTGCTCTTACTAGATTATGAGTTCCCAGGTTTCAGATGATTGAAATAGGCCAGCAGTTGATATGATCTGATGATCCTGCTATGAGGACCAGAAACGAAGCGGGAGGCTGTGCAATCAGCGCTGCGTGGGGTGATCAGGGAAGGCTGTACAGTGGAAGTGGTTTGTGAAAGGTGAATGGCTTTCAGGTAAATCAAGAGGCAAGAACTCAGCATTTCACTTGAGGGTTATGCGCTTCTTATCCAATATTTGAAGATAGGATTGAAAAAGAAAACTCAAGCACAAGGGTTTGAACATCAAAATTGAAACCAAGTAATGTGAGCTCCTTTGTGCATTACCTGGAC